GTCGCGAGATAATTAATCATATCATTTAAAAAGAAACATCTTTTATATATATATATATATATATATATATATATATATATATATATATATATATATATATATATATATATATATATATATATATATATATATATATATATATATATATATATATATATATATATATATATATATATATATATAAAAGATGTTTCATTTTAAATGATATGATTAATTATCTCGCGAATCGATTTTATGGAAAAATTTTTTCAATGAAAGTTCCATGGTTTGAAGGGAGACACATGATGGAAATGTGGACTTGATCTTGAATGACTTTATCGAAATCAGGTCAAGGTCATTAATGTTTTTTCTCTTTTAGAACGAATATCTTCGAAACTATAGTGCTTGTGTGTTTGTGACGCTGGTGTCGTCTTAGATGGAAGACTCGCTCGCCAAGGCAGCGTGTAATAACGATGACTTTGTTGACTCTTTGTTGTAATAATTCAGAGTTTATTGTTGAGTTGAATTAAGATTAGTTTGAAACAGGCGGTAAGCGATGCTCGTAATTCGATAATTAATGCGTTCGGTTAGACGCGTGCACAGGTAATTCGCACTTGATACGACGTCGAGTAGTTTCTCACAGCTGTTCGAAAAAAAGTATATTGCGAGCAGCAACGAGACCGGCAAATCTCGCCGGAGATTCAAGTAATCCTCGCGCACTAACTGCCCTCGCGGTATGTGTACCAAGAACGTTAGATAACAAAATACAGCGGTAATACGCGATCGAACTTCGGTATGGTTCGCTCTTCACGTTCGGGATAAGAAGTGTTACGAATAAACAGCGATAAATGATCCTTATTGATCGGGAATGAGAAGCGAAATGAACTTTCACACGCAGAAAGTGTGCGCGATCGTCAACTCTTCGAGTGTCGCGCAGGGGAGTCGCGCGCCATTTGAGATAGATAGCGTGATTAGAGCAGGAGAGAGATCCGCATGTTTTGAACGGTGATGACTCGGTATCTATGAGCTGTTTGCTTACCATCGCCAAGAAGATATTCGAATTAACAATCATTCCAGAACATACCACCCGCCTCGAATGCAAGCATTCGAAATAATTCGCATCAAAGCACGCAAGATACAATAATGGTATAACAATGAAAATGATCTGATACAGAATACAAAGATCGGAACGCAATACAATCATAGTTTATGGTTCGCGATACCGGTAACATCAAGTACGTTCAACGGAAACTCCGCCCGCCGTGACGGAATCTTTACTCTTTGGTATTGATCGTGACGAATAGAAAACAAAGTTTTACAATTGGTTGCCTGTACTCGGAACGATCTGTTTTTACAGTTATGACGCGAGTTAAATCATCAACCGGGATGACACGCCGTTATGCAACTAAGTTCCTATCGGTGGATCTAAAGAGTTACACACAAGGATGATTTGACTGATTTGGCCAATCGCTGGACAACGCGCAATTTTGTTGAAGGGTATGCAAGTAATCACCGGACCAAGACTTCCAAAACTTTCGATTATTTGTTGAACCATTTTTCAACGCGAAAGTCTATTTTCATTTAAGTCAAGTACGATTGGTTCGGCGGAAGCGATAAAAGAGGTTCCAACTAAAAAATGAGATCGGGGATCGGAGCGTGATAATCGGTGAGATTATTGGAAACGGAAGCGATCGGACGTGAATTAAGGTACATTTCGATCCAACAAAGCAGCGTGGACATCTCTTCAAAAGTTAGCGTAGAGACCGATGTATCGTTTTAAATGATGCTTGAGTGTGGAGACCGATGTATCGTTTTAAATGATGCTTGACACTTTTAACGCCGGTCTGCCACAGGTCACCGAAGTGCGGCGATGCAGGGCGTAGGAAGTGCTACGCAATTCTATCTGTAGCGAGTCGATTTCAGAAGTTAGGATCACGAATTGCTTTTGCATGTGTATTGGATCAATTCGCGATCGGCGCCGTAAAACGTGGTTCCGTTATCGAAATACATGGATGTCGGTAGTTCTCGGCGAGAAACAAATCATTGATACGCTGCGATAAAGATAGGAGAGGTATAATCGCTGACGAGCTCTAAGTGTAGAGCTTTGGTCGTGAGGCATACAAATAAACCAATATAGGCTTTTTGCGATTTATGCCCTCGACCGGGAGTCGTTCAGACAGCGATCGGACCTGTATAATCAACGCTGGTATGGACAAAGGCACGAGCAGTTTGGTTGACTCTCGCAGCCAGGAAATCGCCATGGATTCGACGGGCACGTTCACGCGTGCATGGTATACACTTATAAAGAACGGATCGAACAGTGGCGAGGGCCCGGAGAATCTAGAATTCGTGTCGCAATGACGTGAGAGTTAATTGAGAGCATGCAACGTTCGAAGATGGTTGTGCTGGATAATGAGAACCAACAGCGGGTGCGCGCGTAAGACGATAGGATTCCTCGTTGCCCGTAGGAGGCAAACTCGCCGGAATCTTCCGCGAATAAGTCCATTCTCGTTCATAAGGATTGAGAACAAAGAGCGGCCTGTTCTTCGATACCGGGTGTTTATGTTTTAGAGACGCGGTCTCATTAGGAAACATGTCGGACTGGATTGTTTTGAACCAGTAGCGTTTGGCGTTCTGAATTTCTTCGGGGAGCAGAGTTCGCGGTATTCGCTTGCGGATTTTTAGAGCGTCGGAATCGATTTAGAAAACGGTACAGATAAGTAGTAGTTCGTAACAGTTTTGACCATGAAGAATAACGCGACGCGAGATCCTACGTTGGGGTCTCGCATGCAAGGCACATACTGGAGACTCTGAGCGTTGTTCGAGAGGAACATCGAAGGATACCGAAGGGTACGAGTTCGGCCAGGACTCAGGAGGATGATGTAACCATGGAGGGCCTGACCACCATAAAGCATGAGTCTCGAAAAGATCGGGAGCGAGACTGCGAGACGCGCAGTTCGCGGGATTGGAGTGCGTCGGAACATGACGCCAAGAAACTCCAGAAAGGAGTGATTGCACAGCCGAAACGCGATTGGCGACGAACGTTTTCCATCGGGAAGGTTACTGACTCAGGCGAGTGTAATAGTGGAGTCTGTCTAGCAGTGACATTCGAGATTCGGAAATTGGAGCGCTGAGAGCGCGAAATGCATCAAGTGAGCGAGAAACAACGCAGCGGATAATTCCAATCGCGAGACGCTGATTGTTTTAAGGGGCGCCACTTTTGATTTGGCGGCGAGAAGAGAGACGATGATGGAGCTGTCTATATTAACGATACGAAGCGGCAGCGAAAGTCGATGCGTTGAAAAACCCATGAAGGACGCAATGTAGAATGTGAGATCCGTAAGTAGTCCAGCGCGAAATGCTAATAGTATTGAGACACGAAAGTCGTTGATGGTAATCGGACCAGAAGATTGAACCAGAATCGGATCAAGAAGTTGCATAGGAATTTCGTCATCCCATCGGTATTGGAGGGACCACAGTCGTTGCATAAAAATTTTGTCGGTAATACTGAGTAACTCATCTTAAAGGATCGAAAAACTTAGCGATAGTCGACAGAATGGCTCGTTTGGTTCGTTAGGATGATGACAGTACGGTAAAGCGGAATTGAAAAATATATAGCTTAGGATTTCAGAGTATTCCTAAGACCTTAAAATGCTCATCGTCTTGAAGAACCTTATGAATGGCTAAACCATGATCCGCGGGATCAAGCTCGGACAACAGAGCGGTGGCGTTACTCGCCCATTTTCAAAGGCGAAAGCCTTCTTTAGTAACTCGATCAATTGATCGCATTTGACGAGCAAGAATCTGGTCGTCTGCGCCAAAAGCGCAATTGTCAACATAGATCTGATGAAACGGGAACCGCGAGCGCAAATTCGGCACCTTCATCGTTTACGAGTTGTTCTAAGACCCGAAGGGCTAGGTAGGGAGCGGCGGCTATGCCGTAACGGTAAGAAGGCGGTAATCTGTAATTGGTCCACCAGGGGTAGGTTGCCACATAATGCACTGGTAGTTGGTGTCTCGGGAATGTCGGTGTATCGGTCAACTAAGATTTGCGATACATTTTGCCGATATCAGCGGTAAACACGTAACGGTATTGGCGTCACTGCATTAAGACAGTAGCTAAATCTCTTTGAAGTTTAGGGCCAATGTGCATATGGCCATTCAATGACATCCCGTGTGATGTGCGGCATGAAGCGTTGTAGACCACTCGTAAGCAGGTAGTTGCACTGCTGTCACGTAAAACAGCGTGATGCGGAATATAATAAGTTTGCTCTGGTTTGACAATTTCTGTCGGTGAGCTTTTAGCTCGAGTGTTACGTACTCTGCGAGAAATTCGCGGTACTCGGAAGCGTTAATTGGATCTCGAATTAAGCATTGTTTTAAGCGATGAAAGCTCGAAACAGCAATAGAGCGCGATTTGTCTATCGAGATATGATTCGTTTTTAAGCGGAAGTCAGACGATATAGCGTCCTTTCGATGTACAGAAATGTGTGGCTCGGAAGCGCTCTTCGTTCCGAAGGCTTTCTGAGACACTTCATCAATTTCCCAAAAGCGACGAAGATCGCGATTGAGAGTTTCAAGAACAACTCCGTGATGCGCAAATGTGGAAATTGACTCAGTAGTCGGAAACGAGACTATTGATCCAGAAAGAATCCAGCCGAGAGTCGTATTTTGCACGTAGGCTCATAGGTTCGGAATCTTTTCTAACACCGTCGAGAACAAGCATGCCGAATATAGACATGTGCGAGGATTTGTACAATCTTTCACAACATGCTTCACTACTGAAACAGTTCACACAGCGTTTCTGGTTTTTAATGAATTTAAAACGTTGGGATGGAGTTTGAGGAACAACATTGATATAATGGTTTGCTTTGCATAATGTGCTCAAGAACGGAACGATAAACGCGGTATATAATGTGAGAGTTTTTCTTTGGGAGGTCGTCTGTGACTTCTCCATTGCGTTCGCGGGTGCAATCGCGTCGAACACGCGAATGCAAGATGCGAGAAATTGATCGAGTTCGCGATAACGCGGATAATCTACAATATCGCTGAGATTAAGTTCCCAAGTTTTTCGCGATTTCGAGTTTTTGTGCAACTAGAAAAACAAGCCAATCATCCCAATTCAGTAGTGCAACCGAGATTGCTCAGAGCTTGTATCGCTTTATTAGTTTGATCGCGAAACATAAAATCGTTGGAGGTTTTTGTCGTGAGCGACAATAAATTGAAAAGCGATTGTAAATGTATTGTAATAAGGCAACGTTTATTATCGTATCGGGAAACAAGAATATTCCACGCGACAGTGAAATTATCATTGGTTATCGCGAGATGGAGAAGAGCGTTACTTGCATTGCCTTTTATACACGAACACAAATAACACATGCGCTCGACATTCGTTGACTATGATCATCGTGAATCATTGATTTAAATTTATCGCGAAAGCTTTCCCATTTGTCAAAACTTCCGTCGAAGGTCGACAGGTTGATTCTCGAAAGATGTGACGATGATCGAAACGAGTCATTAAGATCATTTACGTCATGTGCAGCGGGACAGGGTTCGCGGACTTCGTGACAGTGTAGTACCTCCGCCATATAATGTCGACAACTTCGTGGTAATAATCCTCACACGTCAGGAAGTAGTTCTGAGTGAAGTACGCATGGATTATCTCCAATTTCTCGTCCGCAGCCAACGTAATTTTGCAATCCAGCTCCTGGCATCTGGCAAAGGTCTCCTTAAGGGTTGCGAGGTGTTGCCGCGTTATAACACGTGTGACATCTTGACCTGTCCCAGCTTTTTAAAATTAGTGAGTGTGCGAGATATGGTATCCATCTGTTGGTTTTGTACACTCATCAATTCGTCGAGAGACGACATGATTTCCAACGGAAAGGCACGACTTGAATGTTCGAGAGTCAAGCAAAACAATAACTTCAAAAACTTTCCTTAGCGACGATCCGGCTCGAAGGACCAAAATATGTTTGTATGTTTGTGTTGGTGTCACCTTGGATGGAAAGCTCGCTCGCCAAGACGGCGTGTAATAACGACGACTCTCTTTGTTGTAACAATTTAGAGTTTATTGTTGAGTTGAATTAAGATTGGTTTGAAGTGGATGGTAAGCGATGCTCATAATCCGATAATTAATGCGTTTGGTTAGATGCACAGGTAATTTGCACTTGGTACGACGTCGAATAGTTTCTCACAGCCATTCGAAAGAAAGTGTATTGCAAGCAGCAACGAGACCGGCAAATCTCGCCGAAGATTCAAGTAATCTTTGCGCACTGCCCTCGCAGTACGCGTATACCGAGAACATTAGATAACAAAATGCAATGATAATACGCGATGGAACTTCGGCGTGATTCGCTTTTTTGGTTCATGATAAGAAGCGTTACGAATGAATAGCGATAGATGATCCGTATTGATCGGAATCGAGATGCGAACTGAACTTTCACACGCGGAATGTGTGAAAGTTGCGCGATCGTCAACTCTTCGAGTGTCGTGCAAGGGTTGCGTGCTATTTGAGATGGATAGTGTGATTAGAGCAGGAGCGAGATTTGAATGATTTGAACGGTGACGGTTCGGTATTTTTCTATGGTTTTCTATTCGGTTTTTTTCTATGAGTTGTATGCTTACCATCACCGAGAAGATATTCAAATTAATTTGGAGTCTCTCTAAATTTGGCCCATGAGGCGATAAGAGTGGAAAAATTATAGAATACCCTCTCTACAGCACGAGTCTATCAATCACCGCGTACTTGCGCGAACGCAGTTGCTAATCTGTCAAAATGCATTACAGTGTACATAACCTTGGCAGAACAAGTCATATGTATATATTATATATATACATATCACATATTATGTATCACAAAAGAATATATTACACAAATAGTTATACACATAACCTGTCTATGGAATTGCGTTGCATACATTAGAGAGAACTTAGAACTGAGAACCTAATACAATTAGGTACAGATGCGCGCGCAATACACATGTCTAGCCTACCATGGAAGGGGCATGACATTAATATTTGTAAAACGTGTGAGGAATGCAAAGATTACAGAAGTCAAATTTAAAGAGACTCTATTGTAATATGCAAAAAATTATAAGTATCCATTAAAAAAAACTATTGGGAGTACAAATTAGTTCGGTTAATTTTCCAAAAGCTCCGACTGTTGTGAATGGTTCATAGTGACAACTGATTTTGGCGTTTTCAGAGAGGTTAGATATCTGCTAATAATATTCAGTTTATATCGCTTTGAGTTTCATACAAAAACCTTGATTTTTACTGTGTTTGAAATGTCGAATTTTGTGTTAACCAAGCAGCATTTGCGGGAGGTTCTAATTTTTTGTTTTAATTGGAAGAAAAGTGTAGCTGAAGCCCATCGAATGCTTGTCGAAGTTTATGATAATACTGCTCCAACTGATAAATCATGTAGGGAATGGTTTCGACGTTTCAAGGATGGAGATTTCAGCGTTAAAGACAAGCCTCGCTCTGGACAGCCAAAAAAATTCGAAGACAAAGAATTAGAGACATTACTCGAAGAAGATCAGAGTCAAACGCAAGAGGAGCTTGCAGAATCATTGGGAATAACTCAATAAGCCGTTTCTGCACGATTAAGAGCCATGGGAATAATTGAAAAACAAGGAAATTGGGTGCCTTATGAACTGAAACCGAGAGACGATGAAAGGCGATTTTTCACTTGCGAACAGTTGATTCAAAGACAACAAAGAAAAGGTTTTTTGCATCGGATTGTGACTGGAGATGAGAAGTGAATATTCTACGACAACCCTAAGAAGAAAAAATACTACGCTAAGCCCGGTCAATCGTTGCCATCGACCTCAACATCAACACCAAAGCCGAACATTCATGGTTCGAAGATCATGCTCTGTATCTGGTGGGACCAAAAGGGTGCTGTTTAT